TTTTGTTCTTCCAATCTTTACATGTTGGAATCCTGGAAAAATTTGCATTTATTCTTGCTGAATGCTAATCTACTACAGATCCTAGAAATTTAGCAAACAATGCTAATACTTTACTGTTAGCTCTTGTTAACATTCCTTGTTTTTGGATAATCTGTGCTTAAAGGATCTGAAAGTGAAACAATGTAAGCTTTATCAAGGCCCAAATTCTTGTTCTTTTTGAGGAATGTACACTCCATTTCTCTATTGTGCTTTATTATTTTTCAGAAGGTGGTATAAAATTCTATTAAGTAGATTGAAAGTGTTTGCATTTAAATATTTAGTTCATCGTAAATGGTATTGTCTTGGTTGTTATAAAGTTTTTGATATCATGTTTGTTTCCTTTTTCTTTTTTAATGTTTATCAAATAATTAATCAGAATTCAATAATTTCTAAGTGAACCTAGTTCTTTCCATTTATTTATTTGGTTAAATAATTAAATTGCTTTTCATCAAATTCTCTAATTTATTTTTTTGTGGTATATAAACACAGAACAGGCTCAAACACAGGAAATGCAAGCATTAATAATTAAAATAATAATAGCTTCGAATCTCCGAGTTTAAATTTCTATTTTAAACAGTTACAATTACGTTTATTTAACTTAGTTGATAAAATTATAAAAATTTACAGTTTAAAACTATATCCATTCTGGTTTTTACTGTTTGAAAGGTGAAAATTAATTTCATAAACTTACTGGAACATGTAAAATAGCAGAAATTGAACTTGGAAGTTTAAAAATGTACTAATTAAAAACAAAAAACTTGAATTTTATTACTTTTTTTTTGTGTTAATTTTTGTCAAGTAGTAGTTATTCTTATATATCACATGATACACTATTCATTGGCGACAAATTTTTTAGGCTATACTTCTCGATAACATTACTTCAAATAAATTCTGCTGATAATGAGAATTTAGATTCTTTTTTAATGTGTAAGATGACTTTAAAACAACATTATGATACAACAACTTATTTTTTAATGCTGCATGTGCAGAAGAGCATCAAAACAGAGCTGCCAAAAAATGTATATAGTATTTCTTACAGTTCTAAGAGGTCATTAATTCTATGACATTCCCTAAGTCTAAAATCAAAATATGTGAATGATCAATAAATAAATTATTAAGTTTTGTTAAGTAAGAAGAAGTCAGAAGAATTGATATGAAGTAGGTAATTGTTGGCAGTTCTATTCAATGCTTTTTTTAAAGTATAATAACTTATCTTTTAACGCTGCATTATATTGTTTCCCTGAAGACATTTTAAACATTAAGTAGTTTAGGTTAAACACTTATTACCAGCTAAGCTCATTTGAAGTGCAGTGATCATTGAATATTATTGCTGAAAACATCTATTGTTGGTATATAGTGCTTCACATTATCCAGTTGCAATGAATTTTGATAGTTATTTTAGACGGCAAATGTAAGGCATTACAAATTCTAACAGGCATCTTTATTTTGGACAAATAAAGTAGGTAAGAAAGTGCTACTTAAAATTGAGAAAATGTGGTATATACCAGGGATAGCCAAGCTTGACACAATAAGAGCCATATATTGCCTATCAAAAATGCACAAGAGCTGCATCCTCCATTGGAATGCCTATTGGAGAGCCATATCATCTATTTATATTATATAAAATTAAAATACTATATTTATCACTATTACTTTAGTTGACTAATTAGGTAAACAATCATTTACTGTTTCAACTTTACGAATGCACCCTAAGCTTTCAATTACTTGTTTGAGGTTAAGTTGCAAGTTATACTTGCAAACCCTGTATATAAACAATATATAATAGTCAGAAAACTTACACAATATTTTTGTATGTAAGTAATATATATACAAAGCTTATAAAAAGAAACTGTGTAAGTATGTGGGAGCCTCAAAGGGATATAGAAGAGGCACATGAAGGTTGCAAGCTACAGTTTGGCCATTTTGAATATATACTGTATGTTATGTACAACAGTGTTTTTCAACCTGTGGGTCACGACCCCCAGGGGGGTTGCAAAGCATTACACAGTAAAAGAAAGGGAAAATCAGGGGGGTTGCGGGTAAAAGAAAAAGACAAATGTTTGTAGGTCCTACACTATAATAAAAAAAAAAACTACAATTTCAGTGAGAAGGTTGTACCTGTTTATTTTACAGTACAATTGGTTTTTGATCGATATTTAGGTCTCAACAGAAAGAAAATTAAATACATAGTTTTTAAAATCACTGATATAGTTTTAATATGGCCCTGGGGGTCGGCAGAATTTTTTAACTTGTAAAGGGGTCGCGTATTCAAGAAGGTTGAAAAACACTGATGTGCAGTATATAGAAAATAGTCACACCACATAAAAACCTTAAAATGCAGTGATACTTTCTAATCTTCTGACCTTTTTGATTGTTTTTATTGACCTCCTTCAGGAAAAATATAGATTGACTGACTGTTTCATTCAAAAGGAACAGAACATAAATATATTTTTTTTTTACATTTATGAGAGAAATATCTTTTATGTTCCATTATTTTGGAACAAAATTGTCATTTGATCTATGTTCCCCCAAAGAAGGTTGGTAAAAACAATGAAAAATGTTAGAAAATTAAAAAGTGTCACTGCATTTTAAGATACTTTTTTTGTGGTGTGATTGTTTAATATAAGTGCAGTATCCAAAGAAGTGTAAGAAAATATAAAATAGAACAGATTGAAAAATTAAATATTTATTTTACAAGCATGTAAAAACTGGTAACAGTTTCAAGAACTAAAATGTTTTTCATAAAGATCTTTAAATATGATATTGGGTAAGCATCGTTCAATATTTGTTTTTGTAAAAAGAAGATCATTTTGACATCTACAGTTATAATAACAATGATATAAGAACTTGGAATAATTCTCTAGTTGAGTGCATGACTAAAGTGATTATATATGATGATTATATAATCATGTTACTACATTTAGATATAGTAACACGATTATCACCAAATCTAAATAAAAACAGATTTTACTTCTGCTATGGGTTCAATACTTTTAATGCTAGTGCAGTAGATATTAAAAGAGTTAATAATTAAAATGGAAAGACTGAAAATGTGGATCAGTTGCATTAGTTTTAAGAAATAAATATGACGGAGTCTTGTACAACATGGGGATATGTTCTGCATTATAGGAAACTGTATTATTGAGATATGAATTATCAGACAATTTTATGCAAATTTAAATCTTAGCCTAGAAGTTCAAGAAGAAAACTGATACCTCTGGACAACAAAGTTAGAATTTTGTATGAGTATTAGTTGCAATTTTTTTGTTATGCTATACGAATTCACGTTTTAGGGAAGTGCGTTATACAAGAATTCTGTGTCTATACAACTTTTTATTCTAAAAGTACTTCAACAGAAAAAATATATAAACAAGTTCATCTAATGTTTTCTTGTCTCTTGCCGTAGAAAAAATATTATTTTTATAAAAAACTCCAAAAGAAAAAATAATTTGTCAAAAATGTACTGCATACAAGAGAAATTACTTCTGTAGTCGCCATAGTAATAAAAAAACATGTTTGCTTCTAAATCTAATACCATTTTCTTAATTTTTAAATCAATTTCCTTGCATATTGACTGTCAGATCAAAGTTTAAAAGAAATTTTAGACCTGCTCCAATTGGTTAAGAGTTTTCTTGAAAAAAATAAAATTAAAGTATCCACAAATCAGAGACGAGTTTAGAAAAATGTTTGGTCTATTAACTTTTCCATTATTTCAGTTTATTTTTCTGATATTTATTCCAATTAGAATCTTAATTGATCTGCAGAATTACTGACTCACATTCATTTAATATTGTTCGAGTGATTAATAAAGTTGAAAAGTAATCTGTAAATGAACGCAAAGTGCGTGGAAACATAAACGAACTGTAAAAAATAATTATATTAATCCGTTTATTATTATCTCTTGCTTAATTAACAAACTTTTCGACCATTCATTAAAGTCATTAAATAATTCATTNAATAATGAAAATCCCTGACTTTCCCTGATTTTCCAGGTGCGTAGGAACCCTGAATATTCTTTCCTGAGATAGAGAATGTTTTATAATGCAATCGTACAGCACGAGTAACATCTAGTCATCCATATTCGATATAACAATATCGAGGCAAAAGATGATAGGCTGGTTGAAAGACAACTATCTGCTCGTCTCTGATAAACGAGAGAAGTGAAGAGAGAAAAAGTTGTCCAGAATCACGTTTAGAAAGGCGCGATGATCTCTCGAGATGTAAACAAATGATTAGCCAATCAGCAACTGGCTTATGAGAGATGAAACAATGACCAGAATACAGCCCATGGTGTTCCAGCAAGATGACACACTACCATATTGGGTTATTATTATCTGAGAATTTAACATGCATCTTTCTGAATTGTTGGGTTGAGGTGATGGACCAATTCTGTGGCCTTACATTATACTATTTGATTTCTTTTTATGAGGATATAAGGAGGACATTGTTTACAAGATATCTAATTTCCATGAAAAATCTGAAGTTCAAAATTGTTGCTGTAATAAAGATAGTTACATCACATAGAGAGAAACAGATTATTGCTTTGAAATTATGTGCAGTATGAATGATGCACATGTTAAAGTTGCTTAGCCTTTTGCAATATCTATTCTATATCTAATAAAACTTTTTGAGTTACATTTTCATATTCTGAATGCAATCTTATTTTACTGTTTCTTGTTGGAAAAGTATACAACACAGAAACTCCAATAATAATTTAGAATCATCCTGTATTTTAAATAATGTGTTACTAAATATTTCAATGATAGTTAATGTTTTTCAAAACAAATGAATACATCAGATATGATAAAAAGCAAGACCACTACAGCTCTATATTGAACTATCCTTTGGCCATTCAAAGTAATTGGCCTACAATATTTGAACTGCATTCCAACTCCACTGGTTTCTGACAAAATAATTTGTTCAACTGAAGAAAACTATTCTCTTCTTGCTTTCCATTGCATTCATCTCAATTTGATGCTCTGAATAAATTTTAATTTTAAATCTTAAATTAACAAAAATTCTACTGGATCAATCTTAACAATGATTCTTTTTTAATCTGATTTAAAAAATAATAAAATTGTGAACTGTAATTTATTAACAAGGAAAACTTGTATAAATTGTTTTACCTGAGCTTCTAAAATAGGAATATTTTCAATTTTGGTTTTAAGTGTATCAATTTCTTCTTTCAATTTTGAAATTTCTTCATTCTTATCAACCACCACTGCTGTCACTTTATCCAATTCTTCCTGATGACGACGGCTTTCTATCTGTTTCCAAGCTTCTAGTTCATCTTTTTTATATTCAGTCAACAAATGTTCAAATTGTTGTCTAGCTTCTTCTAAATTTTTCCTAAAATAAACACAAGCATTAAAACAATATAACATTAATATATTAAAGAAAAACAAGCATACATACTTATCTTCCAGTTTAGCAGCTTGTTCTTCTGCAAGCATATGACGAAGAGTTGTTATTTCTATCTGAAGCTGTTCAATCACAGCTGTATCATTAAGTCTCACACTTTCTAGTTTTTCTTGATATACTTGCAGCCAATGTTGTAAACTATCACATCTATTTTTATACATTTTAAATAAATATTATGATTAAAAATGAAAAAAAGATGATAATGTTATTAGTGCCAATGGAATTAAAAGTTATTTTAAAACTTCAAAATAATTATAAATTTTTTATATAAATTGTACCTTTCTTTATATTTTTGGGCTGATATTGCAACCAATTGAAATTTTTCTTCAGAAACTTTCAACTCATTTGCCAGTGATAATTGTTGATGTTCAAGAGGTAGTGACTGCATCGACATTTGTTTTAAGCTTGTAATTTCATTTTCTTTCTGTTCCAGTGAAAGTTGTAATTTTGANTGTTTACACTCTATATAAGATTATTATTAACTTGTTTTAAAATAAGAATGAGCTACAATTTGATTCTGTAGTTATTTGTTTTTAATAATTAACAAAAAGTATTAAAAATTTAAATGAAATTAATCTTTTTAATTAGAATATTAGAAAAGAATAAAAGAAATTCTATCCTTTTATTCTTCTTATTTGCATTTTGATAATGTAAATTGCCTTGTTTATTGAGTAGTTATAAAAGGATTTAAAGTTTCCATTTAAAGTAGTTTGCTTATCTTTAATAGTTATAAGAGAAAATAAATGCAACTAAACAAATTAAGTTAATAAATGTATGACCATTTTCTATTGATTTAGACATATTGTTATATTTTGAATATCTGAAAAATGTCCTAGCACAGAAAGAACACAAATTCTTTTTGTGCTAGAACATTTTTTTGGGACAATTTGTTTTTAGACTGTAACCTTTTGGATAGAGAAAATGTAAAGAGATGTAGTCACTTATATAAACTGAATGTAAAGAGCCTTTCTTCTTCCTGTTTCCAGCTTAAATACTCCAAGTATGCCATTGCTTTTCTTTTAATGTGTAACATTCATATAAACACATTAACATCAAAAATCCAGCAGCAAAAACACTTTAACAAGTGCACAAACATTTTTGACTGTCTTAAACAGTTGTCAAACAGTTGTTTACTCATAAATTTGAATGGAGATTGTAAATAAAACACAATTTTTAAATAGAAAGAACATTGATGTTGGATGCAACAGCATTGCATAACAAATGACGCATATGTAATAGTTCAAATAAATTATTGTCCACACTGTTAAGAGGATGGAGAAACCTCAATTAAGTCACTTCATAAAAGACTTTAAAATGATTGAGTGCCTTAAGTGAGGTTTCTCCATTCTCTTAACAGCATGGATAACAGCTTTTTACACAATATTGTTGCATCTGATAACATCAATGTTCTTTCTATTTAAAAATTGTATTCTACTTACAATCTCTATTCGAATTTATGAGTTAAAAACTTATGATAACTATTGAAGATGGTCAAAAACATTTGTTTGCCTATGTAAATTGGCACAGAGATGTGCTACCTCAAACAATTAAAAGGTTTTTACTGCTAGATTTTTGGTGTTAGTATGTACTGTATATTTGAACTGCTTCCAGTTATATAAACTGTTTATTTGTTGTATACAGTACATTTATATTCTTTTAAAAGAATAAATTTATAACAGAATAAAACGTTCAGAATATAACAAACAACAGCTCTTTCAACTATTTTTATCTCTTATTTACTTATAATTCTATAAAAATGCATTACTTCTAATTGTTTTTCAGCTAAGAGTTGGTTCAATTGGGAAACTTTAGTTTGATGTTCATGCATCATTAAAGATGGTACTTGTTTACCACTTTCAGACTGTAAAATCATAACTGTACGTTAGATGATATTTAAGTAAAATAATTGAAATTTGTTATTTAAATATAAACAGTAATAAAAAATATATTAAATTTAAAGCTTTAAATGATTTCTAAAGATCACTTCTAATTAAGATTTAATGAAAAGTGATTCTCTTATTAAATTTTATAAATCTATAATATTTAATGTATTGTAGATGTGGTACAACATATTCTCACTTTACAATTGTTTACTTTACAATCCCTGGTTTTATAACTGAAATAAATGTTCTATTATGAGCATATGAAATGCTGTATTTAAATTTAATATTTATTTTATTTTTGATTGGTCATCTTAGAATGATATTATATAGTTCAAATTGTACTTCCAGCAATCTTATTTCAATTTATGACTTATTGAGATTATATTCCTCAGAATGCAATTTGAATAAATATATTTATTCAAATTAAGATACACTTTTTTCAAGTTTCAGTATCTCTAAAAATAAGGTGCATCTTAGCTTTTTAATACATCGTAATTATTCACCTCCAGTGTGATGAGTCTCTGTCAATAATTCCATTGCATCATTTTAATAATTTTATTAGACTAGTAAATACTAAACAAATTTATGTCAACAGAACTGATTCTGTTTGTCTCAAGTTTTTTTTTTTTCTTTGAAAAAATAGACAACATTAAAGTAATTCTTACATTCAATGGCATCTTTTATTGGAGTAAATATGGTGTATATATATATTTACACATATGAGAAATACAATATTCCCTTTATGACAATTTGCTTAACAGTTTTCTAATTAAGTTATAAAACTGAAGTCTACTGCATACATTTTCCAACTACAAAATTAATTATGTTCAAATTTAAGAATAATCTTGCTACCATTTCTGAATGGTAACAAAGTGAAACTTGTAACTAGAATCTTATAGTTCTTTTTGTACTCAACTGGAACCTGATAATAAATAATATAGTTCAAAACATTTGTTCTTATTAAATTCGGTGCTGGATATTAAAAGTTTTAGTTTCTTAACTATTACGTATTATTAAGCTAAAATATTTTACAAAATTAATTAATTTCTATAGGAAATTTTCTAATTAATGAATTTCAGTAGACCAATATTTTAAGTGTTTGATATAAGGAGAATTCTATATATAAAGAATAACAGAAAATGATCAGTTATGACTTTGCAAGTGTAAAAAGTTTTTAGAAATAAAATTTCTTAATGAAACATGGAAAAAACTAAAAATGTATAATACCTATTTAATTTCTTCATAATTCTGTTGTGAACTGCTTGATGTTGGTGCTTCAGGCTTTAGCTTGAAATCATCATAAACAGTTTACAACAGCTTGGTTATGGTAGTGTTGCCAGAAATCAGCCAAGGCTCATGCAAACACTAAATGAAAAGTTGCAAAAAAACTGCTGTTTTGTTGATGGAAAAACAATATGGGATAAAAACTTAAAAAATCAATGTTTTTAATAAGCAAAAAAAATTTAATATTGACTTAAATAAACAGTCAAACCTTCAGAATTAGCCCAATTGTCAAGAAATAATAAATAATAATAAAATCTAGAAACCTGACCTGTCTCTATTTGAAACCATCCATAATTATTGAAGATAAAGCTAGTGTCTTCAACCTCTCCTCAAATGGATATTTTTAATATAGTCTGTTGCAACATGTATGACAGGAGTTTGAAATAAAGGGAATTTTACTAAAAGAGTGTGAAATTTGTTTTCTTTTATAGTGTAATAAACTCCATATGTTTGCAAATTGCATTTTCAGAAATTGTCACTTGTTCAATGTAGGGAGAAGTTCATTATAGAAAGAATTTGGAATTAGAGAATTTCCTATATTTTTACAAATATAATTAGAGTAAATCTTAATGTAAAAAGTTAAACAGAAAGAAGTCAATTCAAAAACTTACTGTTATTAATTCATTTGAAACACTATTTGAAACACTTCCTGCACTCTTCTGTGAATCACTAGATTCACTAATATTTTGAATTAAAGAATAATCTTCAGTATTCAATTGGAGAGATGATTGCTATATTTTAAAAAATATTTGACTATTTATAAAAGTATTTTAAAATTTATCATCTTCCTTTGAATAATTAATTAAAAAAAAAACTATTTTGATTCAAAACAAAAGTGAACTTAAATTACAGAACACCTATATCTATAAAAAATATTAGATAATTTTTATCAGAATGATTAAATAAATAATTTTATGAAAGTTATCAATGAAAAACAATATTATAAATTGATAATGTATTTTTAAAATTTTCTTTTGATATCAAGTTTTAAAATTTAGTAAACTTAACAACAAAAAACAGTTTTAAAATACACATCAGATAGTCTTCTTTGTCCTTGCTTTTTCCCATGTTTAAATGAGGTGTGCATTCCCATCTTTAATCTGCCTTCTCCACTTCTCTCTATTCAGGATGTCCTCTCTTCTCCATCCCCTCTCTCCCAAATCGTCTGTCATCTTGTCTCTCCATCTCAGCTTCAGTCTTCTCAACTTCCTCCTCCCTATCACTTCCAACTTCCCAATCCTCTTTCCAACATAGTCCTCACTTCTCTCCACACATCAAAACCATCTTAATCGACTTTCCTTTATCTTCTTACTTATAGGACTTTCTTGACTGTTCATCTTATGTAATCATTCCTAATTCTGTCATTCTTTGTCACACCATACATCCATCTCAGTACTTTCATCTCCACTGTCTCCATCTTCTTTTCTTGGTTCCTTGTAATTATTCATGTTTCAGACCTGTATATTATTGCAGGTTTTACTATGGTTTTGTATAATCTTCCTTTCATTTTGCAGCTTATTTTCTTATCACACAGCATCCATACTCATATTTCTTCAGTTCAACCATCCACTATGAACTCTTAAGCTGGATTTCTGTACTCATACCTCCATCACTTGCTACTAGTGTTTCTCAAACGGGATTCCAAGATTCCGGTTGTTTTTTTAACCCGGGAAATTTTTCTTATTCTGGGAAATCCCGCAAATTTCTTAAAAATTCACTTTTTTTCTTATTTTGTGTTAAGGTTAAGAAATTTTGCAAATAAAAAGCATAATTATCTCATTCACTGTCAGAATACATTTGTATTTATTAATTTTAAACCTACCTATTAGTTTTTTTTTAAATTTTTGCCGTTTATGGCATGTCACAAATGGTCGATAATCAATACGTAGCTTATTTGTGGCAGGACTCTGAAAATTCTTTACTTGTCAGAACCTGTAATATATGGAATAATTGTGCTTACGCTGTCTTAATTTTTAACCATGCCCAGTAGCTTCAATAAATGCATAACGCCAGATTGTGCAAATTGGGCAAAGATACAAACGAGTATAAAGTCTGCAAGTATGAAGTTTTTTTTCATAAACCTGATTATTAAAGCCAAATAAATTGCCAAATTATCGAGCTATAAGCTCGATGCCACTATTAAAGCAGCCGAGGTAGACAAATCAAAAATACTAGAGAGCAAAAGAAGTACTACAATCTCGAAAACAAACTCGAATTTCTTTCAGGCTACAGGTGAAAAAACACATCTGTCTTCTCTTAAATGCATTAAACACGATTCCAATTGCATCAATTGAATCGGAAAAGGCATTCTCAGTAGCAAGACTTTTCATTACTAAAATAAGAATTAGAGTGAGTGATTGGAGTATTGATCATCTTTGCTTTTTAAAATCTTATAAAAGTTTACAATATTTTGTATTATATTTTATTTAAAAAACCTTTTAAGTTATAAGTTTGATCTAAGATCAATTTTTAATTTTTAACTCAATTCAAAGCATTTTTGTTGTTGTTGTTGTTGTATGCAGTTTCTAGCAAACTTTAATAAATTTTTTCTATTTGTGAACATTTCTACATAATTCAAAGGTAATTTTTATTATATATCTTACACAGCATTATTAATATGATTTTGGATGATACAGAACTTTAAAATTACTTTAAAAAATGAAAAATAATTATATCATTTAATTTCAAGATATTTTGTATACCTTAAAAATAATTGATTCTATCCCGGGAAACAGTTCACTTTTATCCCGGAATCCCGGGACAAGCAAAAGACCGGGAAATGAGAAACCCTACTTGCTACATATAATCCAAGATACTTAAATTTGGAAGCTATTATTAACTTTCCACCCTGAAGTTGTATATAATTCTCATCCCCTTCACCAGATGTCATATACTGTCTTTGCTCTGCTCATCTTCATGTCTCTCTCTTCCAGTGCTTTTCTCCATTACTCCAGCTTCTTCTCTAGCTTATCTTAAAATGTTTTGCAGAGCAAAATGTCATCTACAAACAACATATTTTATTGTGTCTTGTTCTTCATAGTCTCCACTGATACATTCACCATCAAACTGTACAAAAATGGGATAAAGACTGAGCCTGGACAGTCCAATCTCACAGTGAATCTGTTATACCCATACTACTCTTTACTTGAGTTTTTATATATTTCCTTTACAAGTCTTATATACTTTTCTGGTATTCCCTTTACTCTTGTATATCTCCATACCTCCTGTCTAGACATTTATCATACACTTTCTCCTGGTCTATGAGTACCATATGCAGTTCTGCCTGCATCTCCCTATACCTTTCCATCAGCTGCTTTAGTGCAAAGATTGCATCTATTGTTCCTCTTCCTTGCATGAAACCAAACTGTTCCTCACCTATCACTTGTCTTTTGCTTTAACCTTCCTTCCAAAATTCTCTCTCAGATCGTCATTGAGTGCAACATCAATTTAATTCCTCTGTAATTCCCACATTCCTGCACATTTCCTTTTCCTTTATAAATAGACACCAAAAAATTTTTCCTCCATTCATCTGGTATTCTTTCTTGTTATCACAGTTTTTTTTATAATATCCCATACAATATTAACACCCTCTTTGCCCAAACATCGCCATACCTTAGATGGGATCTGATTAGCTCCTGTTACTTTTAAACTTTTTTCAGAAAATAAAAATGGCATTCAAATAGAAAAATTACTTAATAAAAGTTACAAGTGAACACAAAATATGTTTTTAAGTGTTTTCAGAAAGGTGCCAAGTATAATATTTGGTCTATTTTTTTGCAAAATGTAATTGATTGGCCATTTCATATTTGACTGCAAACAGTATGTTAACATTAGAAAAAACTCTAGATGTCTTGAATTATTTTCTCATGCAGGCAGAAGTCAACAACTATTTTCTGTTGGAAAACATCAATTCCTGCCTACCTGACCAATGAAATTGTACTCTTCTGTACAATCTGAGTGTTGCATTCTTAGCAAGAACAAAACATGTAGGCTTGGAGTTTCCAGAGTGCCAAGCACGAATCTTTGGTAAATTTATCTCAAAATCTGATTATTTGTTTTTGTTATATGAATTTAAATAAGATAAATTTGTTTTTTCTTCTTCAAAGTAGACTTTTTGCCATTTTTTATTCAATTTTGTTACATTTTTGTTTTTGGCTAATATAATTAATTCAACATTTCCCAATAAACATGCAATTGTAAGCTAAAACTCTTAATATGGTTTTCATTTTAATGTTTTGTTCTTACTGGTACTTTTTGCTTTATATATATTAGCAGATATAACTTGTTAATTAAAACAATTTAACCTACATGTAAAAAATTATCTTAATAAATGAATTCAACCAATTACTTAATATAAATTTCATATATTATTACATTTTGTTTCCAAAATATTATCAAAACATATGAAAATTGTTGTTAAGCTCTTTTTAAAATATTCTGTAATTTTTAATATTTTTAAATATCTTTTACATATTAGAAAGTAAAACTTATTAATTTTTTAAAAAATTTATAGTGATATGCTATGTGGTATTATCAATTGTTTATATATAACAATAAACATATTCTTATTATATATAAAATTTTATATTATTACATTATTGCATAATATGAACTAAAATTCATATGAAAAGTGAAAATAAGCTTATAAATTTATGTTAAATTGATATGTAAATAATAATTCATTAAATATTATTAGTAATCAGAAAATTTCAATAATTAATTTTAATTTATCATAAAATATTTCTAACCTCTCTCTCAATTTTTGATACTTTCTTCTCTAATTCAGCATTCATTACTATTAATGCCTTCTTCTCAGTTTCCAAATGTTGTACCATTTTTTCTAATTTTTCAATGTTCGTTTGAAATACAGTATGTTTTTGTTCCAATTCTAAATTTAATAAGTTTAATTTTTCCAGTTCTTTTTGTTTTTCTTCATTTCCTTTTTTTAGTTCATTTATTTCTAAAGACATTTCATCAATTTTTGTTTTAAACTGTAAACCCTAAAATAAAATAAATTATTATAAAAAGGCAAGTTTTTAAGAAATTATCTGTTATTAAGAAAGCTGAAAAAAATCTTTCTTGACTTTTCCAGCATTTGAAAAGGGGGTTAAGGGGACAAGGAAGAAAGCCTAATAATTTTCAATTATACTAAGATATAAAATTTAAATAACAACAAAGCTTAAAATAGTGTGACTTTGTTAAGCCATGTTTCTTATGTTTTTCCTTTCTCTTCATTACTTGTGACCACGTCTTACGGAAAAACCCCACTTCTGGCCTTTGTTTACTTAAGTATGATGTGGTTGGTTAAACCATGTGGTCCGATCTGTGTTAGACAATAGGGGCTGACGCTTGATTGGTCGAAGGGGGTGACGGACTAAGTGGACAAAAAGGAGGTCCGAACAGGAAGAGAGCGAGTTCGGGACGAGACCGGAGTGGAGCGAGGACACGTTAGGACAAGCTAGGAAAAAAGGAAGTCGTTACGTGAAGGATCTGAGGTTTTTTCTCTTTTGACCAGTCACCCCTTGTATTCTCAATTTTTTATGATTTTTCGTTTTCTCTCTTTCTCTAAATTTTTGGGCCCTAGGTTTAAAGTAATTAGTTAAGTTAGATTTAAGCTAGACTAAGATTCTATTGTCGGCTGAACATGGGATCCATGTGCTGTGTCGGGACGAGAGTTCATACTTAGTATTGTACAACCTAGTTTTAAGTATCGGTATTTGCCTATTTGGAGTCTGGAAATTTTGTTAATAAATTATATCAATGCCGAATTATCCTTTGGGAGTCAATTATTTATCGTTCGGCTACAATAGTAATATTGTTTCATTATGGTAAAATTCTCTATTTAAAAGAATATTTAAGCTTAAAAAACACTAAGATATGAGCTCAAAGTTAAAATTGTGTGTGGTGCTATCTGTTATAAGATTTTTTATTTAATAAATAATTTTTATATTATTAATTGTTATAAAAAGACTAAAAGCTTAATTTTTAGGGTAGAAATGAGTTTTTAAATATATTATAAATGCCAACAATAAGTAAAATTTCATCAAGTCTGACTCAACTCAAATATGACACCTTTCTCTATCTCTCCACCCTGGTCTTTTAATTGTCAAAATTTAATAGTAACAATGTCCCATACATAGAAATAAATAACCTTGTCAATTTTCAAAGTTTTTGATTCATTCAGTTGAGATATAATATAAAACAGATGCTGACAAACACACACACACACGCACACACAAACAAACAAACACAGAATTTTGTAAGTACAGGGTAATTCAAAAGTCACAGAAATTTTAAAAAATTAATAACACAAACTATTTACAGTAAGATGATGAAGTTTTTGCAGAAATGCTTAGAAAGAAGAGGGATATTTTTTAGGTGTAATAAGAATTTTAGTACCAAAATAGTTACATTTCTTGCCATAGATGGCACTGTAAAAAACTGAAATCATTTGTAAATTTGTTAAAGTAAAAATAAAAAAATAAAAATGTTCTTAGTGTAAGCTCTAGTAACAACTTCACAAATTATGTAATCTTATCAAGTGCCATCTATGGCAAGAAATGTAACTATTTTGGTACTAAAATTCTTATTACACATAAAAAATTCCAGTTTCTTTCTCAGCATTTCTGTGAAAATCGCATCATCTTACTGTAAATAGTTTGTGAGTTATTAATTTTTCAAAATTTCTGTGACTTTTGAATCACCCTGTACTTAGTTTTTACATTTTTGAGCTGAGGAAGTATCAAATGTTTAGAAATGCAAAAACTCATAAAAGCCAAAATTTGACCAATCACCATACTTGTTGTATATTATGTTCTATAACAGCCAGAAAAGTAAAAATACAGTTACCTTTCCATCATTAACAGCTATTGCTAAAGCAGTTTTTAATTCTTCTATGCTGATTTTAAGATTTTCATTTTCTTGCATTACTTTTAATTTATGTTTCTGATTATCTTGAATTATAGATTCATATTTTTCACATCTTTTAGTAAATTGTTCTTCACACATTTGAAGAGTTTGAAATTGTTGTTTTGCTTTTAAATTTGTTTTTTCCAAAGATGCTAAAATATAAAAAAAAATTTTACTAATAATTGTTTTAATTAAAAAATTTTACATAACCTATTCATTATAGATTTATCTTTTACAATGTTACAGTTAAAAAAGCAATACTATAAAAAAGCAATACTAGCAATCTAGATACTTTATATTTTTTATCAAAAGAGCATTCAAAATACTTAAGTGCACAGACTCTCCATATTAAAATGCTAAATTCATATACTAAATTTTTTTATTAATTGCTACAAGTTATGTAATTGTTAGATAAAATGTNAATTTTTCAAAATTTCTGTGACTTTTGAATCACCCTGTACTTAGTTTTTACATTTTTGAGCTGAGGAAGTATCAAATGTTTAGAAATGCAAAAACTCATAAAAGCCAAAATTTGACCAATCACCATACTTGTTGTATATTATGTTCTATAACAGCCAGAAAAGTAAAAATACAGTTACCTTTCCATCATTAACAGCTATTGCTAAAGCAGTTTTTAATTCTTCTATGCTGATTTTAAGATTTTCATTTTCTTGCATTACTTTTAATTTATGTTTCTGATTATCTTGAATTATAGATTCATATTTTTCACATCTTTTAGTAAATTGTTCTTCACACATTTGAAGAGTTTGAAATTGTTGTTTTGCTTTTAAATTTGTTTTTTCCAAAGATGCTAAAATATAAAAAAAAATTTTACTAATAATTGTTTTAATTAAAAAATTTTACATAACCTATTCATTATAGATTTATCTTTTACAATGTTACAGTTAAAAAAGCAATACTATAAAAAAGCAATACTAGCAATCTAGATACTTTATATTTTTTATGAAAAGAGCATTCAAAATACTTAAGTGCACAGACTCTCCATATTAAAATGCTAAATTCATATACTAAATTTTTTTATTAATTGCTACAAGTTATGTAATTGTTAGATAAAATGTACTGAATATTTATATTAAATTTACAATAAATAAAGTTGAATTAAACATTAAAAATATTTTTCTAAATTTATTTTCAATTTTCCTTTAATTTAAATGTTGAATAATCTATAAGTAATAATTATTTTCTATTGGTTTCTCATCCAGCAGGCATTTGTTATGAAAACCTTAAATATTTAATTGAAACATTAATAAATTTTTATTTCAAAAACCACTTAAATAAATTGAGAAAATTAAACGTTTTAACAACAAAACTTCAATTTTTGAAAACTAAACATAAAAAAATAAGCTTTTCTTACTAGTAAAGTTTTCCATACTTCAGTAACATGTCTAATAAAAATTAATACTCTAATCTCTATAAAAGTCATTTATTACATTAATTGGTAAAATTTACTATAATACAATTCTAATACAAGTAAGCTCTCTTAAAATACTTATCAAATAACATTTTACAAAGTTGTTTATAAAACTTAAAAATTTATACATAAGCAATAACTGAATTAATTCAACTTAAACTAAAATTTTTAATATTCAGCATCAAATTTAACAACAACAGATGTTTTTGGTTAGTTTAATTAGCCATCATCAGGTTTCAATTAGCTATAAACAGATATTCAAGTGGAATCTGATGATGGCTTATTACATTAACTGAAAACATTTGTTCTTGTTATATTTGATGATAGATATAAAATATTTCAGTTTGAAAACATCTCCAAGGAAAGACAGAAAAATTATAAAAACACTTTTATAATACTTACATTAACATGTTTCATCATTAATTAATATCAACTTATTTCCATTTAGCCAGTTATACATTTTATTGTTCATTTTAATGCTATTTAGTCATTTTTATTAATCTAGATATGCTTAAAAATAAAATTATTTGGTTTTCCATTGTAATGGAATATAAAAACACAGAAAATATAAATATATAAATTATTATGTGTGTCTGCAAATAATATGGAAAATGTTCATCATATCATTATATAAATATTCAGTTGAGAGAAAAATATTATAAATAAAAAAATCAACATGCTTATATAAATAGTATTATACTTTTTCAATTTCTAAGCATTGTTTAAATACAGGCATACCTCGACTTACGTCGTTTCGAGTTACGTCGTTCCCGATTATACATTGTTTGTCAACAAAGTATATGGAAAAATAAAAGTCAAGTTTAAGTCATTTTATTCGACTTTATGTCTGTCCGCCACAAATATTGAAGTCATAATATCACTAGAAAAATGTTTAAAGCACATAAAATCATATTAAAATATATACGATTATGTTCTGTATTTACAGTACATGCATTCGTAAATTTAGAATACTTTTTTCTGTACTTTATTAAAAACTAAAATTTATTTGTTTGTAAGCTTAAAATAGATTTTTATTAACCATATATTATTAAAAATGCATTAATAAATAAAATACAGAACCGAGAATGATAATTTATGGTTTAGCCTAGTGACAAGTAGATTCGGAGACAAGTAAATTCGACTTACGTCGTTCTCCTGGAACCAATTACCGACGTAAGGCGAGGTATACCTGTATATATATATATATATTATTTATATACATACACATACAATAAACTATTGTATGTTTATAATTATTTATATTTAGCTGAAAATAATTTTTAATAGCTGAATTTTTTATAGCCCACAGATAGACCAGCTTTTAGTTTTTTTTTTACTTATTTATTTACACTTTATATAATTTGACTGGTTCATTACTCAGTTTATGTAATTTTTTCAAAATAATTCAAAATCAATTTTGAGTTTGCAAGAACACTTTGCAACTTTGAAATTTTAAAACTGATTAATGTTATAATTTTCATAATCTAAAGTTTGTCATCCTTTTACGAATAAATTAAATATTTTTTTTATAATGTTTGTTAATATTTTTCTGTATTTACTTACAGAAATTGTTCTTAGTTTTTGTTAAAAGAAAAATACAAAAAATATGAGCAACTATCTTTAGTGAATAAATAAAGATAAGAAAATAAAATAGAAAATTTTCTTTATCTTTTACTGAACATAAAGTTCCTTTGAAATTCCACAGTGAAAACACTACAGTACTTTAATACAAACAATTTAAGTTTAAAATATTTTAAACTTAAATTCATCATGTATGTGTTTAAAAATATTTTAAAGCAAATACATGATGATAATTCAATTATATGCTTTATTTTAGCTATTCATTTAGTTTTGGTTGAAGTGTAAAAAGTTATTCTGTACTATCATTCAATGATGTGTTTCATTACCTTATGTTGATCATCATCATCAATTAAAATTTTTATTTTGTTTTTTAGAATAAAAACTAAACGTAACTTTGAAATGAAACGAACATTCAAAGATTTATCTAAATTAAGTTACTTAAAAATTGTAATTATTTCTGAGAAGGAAAAATCCACATTACAAGTCATTAAATAAATTTAATTAAACAACAATATTTAAATCAGCTTTGATCTGAAGTAAATTTTGTGGTCAAATTATTCTTTCTTCAGATGGCCAAGAGCAAAGAAAATATACAGTGTCATTCAAAAATAACGTTTTCAAACAAAACAATAACTTTAAATATCTATAAATAGTGCCTTCAATTTAAAAAAAAAAATTCAAATAATTTAAAAAGGATAGCTTCATAAAATAGTAATTCAATTTCTTTTAATATCCTATGAATTCTAGGATATATAAAAAATATTTAATTTTTTTTAACAATTATGTAATCATCAGAAATTTTAATATTTATTTAAACAAATTAAGCACATATTAGTCATGTCAATGACTCTACATGAAACTACTGATAATATTTGTTTAATATAAAATGATTTTAAACATTTTACTTACAGTTGAATCTATCCAAAGAAAGCTCTTTATAAAAAAGAAATATGTCATATCATTCTGATTGTTTATATCAAGAAAAAATTCAAGGAGAAAAGCCTCTTATTTGCCTTTATATTAAGTTAAAAGTATTATTCATTCCTTTTGTCCATTTATTTTGATCAATATTGTCTCAAAACTTATAAGATCTAGAAAAAATTTTAATTGATCACTAGTATTATGAACTATTTTCCTTCATATCAGATCAAATTTTCAATTTATATACTTTCACCAGTACTTTGATTAAATTAGAGTACTGGTGAAAATCTTTAAAATTTTTATATAAAATTACAATATCAATCATGAAATAATTAAAATATAAAATAATTTAAAAACAAATGACATAATTAAATGCTAACAATTTAACTCCACAGTTCTTGTATTTATTAATGGTATTTCTAAAACTTTTTATAAACTATCATTTCAAATGTTTCCTAAAACAAACTTATTCTATACTTGAAAAGCTATAACTATTGTTGAATTGATATATTATTGCTAAATTAGCAAATAGACCTATAGATATTTTTGGTGATATTTTGATTAAAATATTGATAATTTAATGCTATTAATACAGATTTGTTAATTATAATTTTAATAAATATGTAACATATATCAAAAATTTAGTTTTAAGATTGAATTATATGAAAAAAAAAAATGTTAAAAGTACAAATCTGAAAAACATTATTATTAGATATACCTAAAATTTTCTATAAAATTGTTAGCTCTCAATATTTCTGGCATACAAGAACATCCTTAACTCCACTGAAAAAGCAACAGAATTAATGATGATGACTTTTATTTACCAGATTTTAGGTTTGAATATCAAGGATGTCAGTTCTTAATTAAGGATTATTGTTGTTATATCAGTAAAACAAACTATTATTATAGTTTACAGCTGGCACTGTATATAAAAAAAAATAAATGCCAATTGGTAAAGTATAAATCAAATTTAAATTATTTATATAACTAGAATAATTCCTTATTTACCTTTTAATTCTTTATTTTCTTTAAGAATTTCTGCAATCCAATTTTGTACTTCATCACTAGGTGAATCTGCCTGTAAAGATGCAGATGAAATCTGCAAATCGTTGAACTGTTCTGGTGAAAGATCATCGGGAGTAACTGAAGTAGGAAAACCCAAAACGATAAAATCTGAAGATTCATCTGTATCATCCTTGCCATTGTTCATTTCATGATTAAAAGAATTTAATGATTTTTCATGTTGTGATGTCATTTTATTTTATTCAGTATCCAACCTAAAATCAATATTTTTACTTGATTTTAATTATTTTATTAAAATATAGTGTTTCAAAATCTTCAATACTAATAAAAACAATTATTTTCATTCACAAAAAAGCTTACTTTATTACTGTATAAATCAGCTAGGATAGTAATATAAATCAATTCGTAAAAGATATATATAATGTAAGAATTATCCAAAGATTTTCAGATATTGCATAAATTAATTTTTGTAGGAAAGTTCTAAATATCATCATGTTTATCCAATTAATAAAGTCACTATTACTTAATTTAAAAATTACAAAAATGTTATTTCCAGATGATTCATTTTTTGTGAATAATATTTATTACTGTTTATAAAGATATTGCAAAAATAATAAAGATAAACCTTCACTACCTTTGTTATCTCTTCAAGATTGAAATTATTAGAAGTTTTAAATTAGAATTAAAAGAGAAATTTAAATGCAAGAATTAAAATATAGTCAAATCTTTGTACAATGATTATCAATATAATGATAAATCCCTCCATAATGATAAGAAATATAGTACTCTATGCAATTTGTATTAGCTTATCACAAAAATTTTCCTGATTAAATAATACCCTCTATTATGATAAATCTCTGTTTAGAGATACATTTTTTACTATACTCATAAAATGCATAGTATTTTCTTTCTTTACACTGATGATAATGCAGTAAATTAAATTTATATTTAATTTATTGTTTTTTTTAATCAAAATGCAGTACTCTCTTAATATAGCAATTCTAGCACTAATGTTATCTACAATCAGTAGGCATAAATACAGACAAGAACAAGTAGCCAGATTTAGTATTTTTTTAGCACTTTAATACCTATATTGTTTGTTAATAATAATAATATAATAATACACCTAATAATACTATAATATTTTTCTGTTCTAACATTGTCTAACTTTGTAGAAATAACCCCAATGTATAGTCAGACGAAGTTAAGGAAGAAAATACTTCTTAAAAACAATCACTATAACAATAAATCTCCTCTACGATAATATTTTCTTATTCTGCTAAATATTGCTAGAGGGATTTGACTGTATCAACTAATATCATAACTTCCTGTTTTAAGTTTCGGTTTCTGTTGTTATTGTTTGTTATGTTACAGCAATGCAACACTTGGGCAATCAGCCTAGGGGGAATGCCTTCTGGGAGGTCTTTTTAAGGGAAATGGGCCCCTATTTAGGCATTACAGACATGGAGAAAACCTGGAAAACTCCACATGGCCAGCTCATCCAAGCGAGGTGCAAACCCACGACCGAACGCCCAGAGTTCAGGGTACAAAGACCACTTGGCCAGTGTGGGCCAAGTTTCAGTTTCAATGTAAAGCATGTTAATTTTGCAATGATACTTAGCAAGTAACATTATAAGATTTTATATGAAAGAAAAGAAATTTTGATAGAGATCAATAAGTATATTTAAATATAGAATCCAATTATAAATAATTAAGAAAAATTAAGAAAATTAAGAAAATAAAAAATTAAGAAAATGAGACAAATTACTTGGATAACTTTAATCTTAAGTAATAAAAGAATATTTTAAACTGGTTAAACTATTAAAATTTCTTAATGTATTGTTAGGAGAATATAAAATGGATAATTATAAAAATTGTAATTTTAAAATAGAACCATATATTCCATATTTTAATGTAGTATTTGAACAAAATGCTTTTCTGTTTGTTAATTCATTGTAAATTCTTAGAATGTAATATATTGAATTGCAGAAAATGTTTAAAGATTTCCATGTAAAATATACTAGAACTTGTTTAGTTTATTTTAGTTAGTGTTATTAATTGTAGATGGTAAACGGCTCATTTAAATAAAAAATAATTAATTAAAGTCATTCAAAATATCTTAAATGATTTTATAATCAGATTCACTTGCCCATTTTGGTCTATTTTAACCTTAAAAAATTGTCTGTAGAGTTATAAAAAATTTTTTAGCCTACAATCAGTTTTGTACCAAAATATTATTTTTGTCCAGGAGGTGATTTTGCATCTGTTGAGACACAAAGTGTTGTGTTATAGACAATGATAATCACGTATGATGGAAATCTTGTGTGATTATCATTGATCTGATTCTAAAATCATTTAACCAACAAAGTCAAAAGTCAATCTCCAAACGTACGCCGTAAATCCATCGGGCTAGTTTTATGGCTAATTACTATATTAATTACATAACGAATTTGGTACTAGAGGTAAGCGTTAGGCGCCATCTCTTATTAATATTAATAATTATAAATAAATTAATTAATTTAAATAATTTAGAACCACTGGGAGAAAAAATCGTTTGGAGATTAGCTATTACATCGGGTTTAGCGATGATTGTAAAGTCAAAAGTCAACACCCAATAACTTGAGAAGCAGAAACATTACTCTAGAGCAGGCCTGGCCAACCCAAATTGTTTTGTGGGCCACTTTGATCATGCGTAACATTACGGTGGGCCACAATTTAGGCAAACATGCTTTTAAAAAAGTAAAACAAATACAAAATGAATAAGATTTTATTGTTATACCAAGAGTTTGTACTCGCACTTGCGCATTATAACAATGACACATGCAAATTTTCATTTATTTAATTATTTTGGTATACACATAACAGGAAACAAAAGTTTTAATAGATATATAATATTGCTTAGTGGGCCACACAATTTAACGTGAAGGGCTGCAGGTTGGCCAGGCCTGCTCTAGAGAGTTGGGGAGTTTCCTATCACTTGCAATAAAATCCAATGGTTAATTAAATGAGTTACTTTATATAATTAAAATAATTTTAGTTTTTAAACATATTTTAAATTATATTTTTAAATTTATAAAAATTATATATAATCATTGATAATTTAATAAATTATTTTTAACCTGTATTTATTAATTTAATTTAAGTATTACATTATTAATAATGAAATTTTAAAAACAGTTTAATGACTTTACATATTTCATATTAGCAGAAAAATTGAAAGCAATCATATCATCATTTCAACATAAACATTTGAAAAATTGCAAAACTTTAGCTGAAACATGAAATTTTACAATTTGAATGATTTATTTGAAAGATTATTTATTCTATCATCACTAAAGATAAAAGCATTATTGAAAAATTTCATTCAAGTTAAATTCAATTTTTATTGAACTTGAATGAAATATTAATTACCAAAATTAACTATATGTATAAATTACGCATTGTTATAACTTATTATTCTGACAAAATTTAATTAATAAAGTATTTAAGTAATTTAATTCATCAATTAAGAAGTTAATAAAGAAATCAATCAAATCAATCAAAAAATATAACTAAACAATAAAAAAAGTTTCATTTTTAAGTTATTTTTAAATTTAATAATTACACAATGATTGCTACCTTATTTTACTTTTTACAAAATATGCTGATGAATAAGAAAATACATTTTTTAGGTTTTTAAATCATAGAATTTGTAAATTTACATATTTATATTAAAATAATTAATATATTTACAAATGTAGGAAATCAAAAATATTATTAAATTCTGATTACAGAATTTTGATATCAGCTATAAATATATATTTAATTTCCTCTATACTTTAGCATCAGGAGCGAACATTACGCTAAGATATTAGCATATGTTGTTTATTGATGCAAAAACATCAGACTCTGGCAACTTTGACTCTACAACACTGATGTAAACACCAACATTTTTTGCCATATTTATGGGTCTTCATCTAGTATGAGAGCTGTTCAATATATTGAAGTTGCCAAACATTCAAAAACTCTTAAAAGTTTACACTAAAATTTATGTGCTGAAATAAGTATGATTGGTATGTTTTTTCTTTTAAATTAAAATGATAACTACAGTATATAATTTACACCATAACTGAATATGATGTTCTGTAAACTAGATGATAGCTGAACAGTCATCCTGCAAGAAGAGCTGAAAATGTTTGATTTTCATAATTAAAAATGTGTTTCCAGCAGATTCTATTGCCTTGCCTAAATTATAGTCTGATGTTGATTCACAGCTGCAGCCAATAGGTCTATGAAGTGCTCTGATTGTCCAGAGATACTGAGAAATGCTCAACTCTTTTGTTATACTCTAATTGCAACAGTGACAATACCATAACTGAATTATTTTCATACAGGATGGAGTGCTTCCACATTTCAAACCCTGTGTACAGTATAGCAATTTCTGTAACATTTCACCAGTAACAAAAAATAAAAATACAAGTATATAATTTTGACACAAAGATGTATATATATAGAAAACTATTATAGTAATGAAATAGCAATGAACAAAACATCATTATGAATCATAACAATGCAAGTCAATACAATCACTTCTAGAGAGATGTTAACAATGTGACTTTACATTACTTACTCTAGCATCATATATAATAAGGCTGCCCAAACCCAGGCCCGCCAACACATTTGAATTTGCCTGCCCACAATAGTGGGCAGCTGTCACCATGCACGATGTCATGCTATCAATAATGCCAACCGCTACATGATTGGTCGAACACGAAATGAATGACTTGAGTCACCGCCACACCGCTGTTAATACCTAACCTATGCGTTTATTACACTTGTTCTATTAGTTTTGAGTCAACTTTTGTGTATTAAAATTAAATTGTTGTCACCAAATATTGAAAAATTATTAGCTAATAAGCCCCTTCATAGGTCTCATTGAGGTATTTTTTATTAGATATTATTAAAACATGTGCAACTTAAAGCTTTATTTGATTCAAATACCTATCCATTTATAGAAGAATCATGAGTGTAAGCAAGTATGATTCACTAGGTGGCCTGCCGCTGACATGTAATTGAAATTATAGCCTGCCTCCAAAATGAATTGGGCAGCCCTGATATATAACATGAAGTAATAAAGCATATTTTACTTTCATTCTGCAAGAATACTAGTTTAGAGAATACAAGAATAAGTTACAAAATTTAATTAAAGAATTTCCATACTATTTTTGTTCACTTTGATACCATATGCAGCATTCACTTTAACATTTATCCAGAT